GGTTTATAATGGGCGCATTCTTATAATTACTTAAACTTTTATTTTCGCATCTGGTTAGTTTTCATCACATATTTATTATTATTATTAAGGCATTTTTGTAGGTGTTTTACTAATTCGTAAAAAATTGACGTTATTCTTTATTTTATATTTAATTAAAAAAAAATATGTTATAATATGTATTATTTTTTGATTTTTTTTAAAGAAAGGATATTTTTAATATAAATTACACTTTTTTATAAAGGACTTTTTTAAAAATTTCTCATTTTTTTTATACTTTATATTTTGCTTTTGTGTTTTTGTTAATTTTTATTTAATTTGATTTTTTTTTTTGAATAGATTTTTTAATGTTAAATATAGTCTTATATTTATAAAAAAAGGCAAGCATAAATTTAAAAAAATAATATATTATTACTTGTTTATAGCTTTTTTTTTAAAATAAAATAAATAAAAAAGATAATTAGTATAAAAAAAAAGACATTATTAATTTTTTCTCAATATTTTTTATTATTATTTTTTGTAAAGTTTAGTTTTTTAAAAAAATTAAAAAATTTATAAATATTAAAAAAAATTAATATTAAGAAATTTAAAAAATTATGAATTAATATATATATATATATATATATATATATATATATATATATATAAATTTAATAATAATATTAAATTTTAATATTATATTATGTAAAAAACAATATTCTCACAAATATCCTCTCTAGTTTAAAAAATTAATTAGTTAATATCGCGAATAACCCTGAATTTTATGATTAATTAAAATAAAAATCCAATTAAAAAAATAAATAAATTAAAAAATATAATACTAATTATCTAATATATTCATTTTAATTTTATTTTCTCTTGGTTTTTCTGTATATGCTTATTCAATTGTACATCCAATAATATTTTCCTAAGGAAAAAACATATATAATTAGGTAAATATTTTGTTACATGATAAGTTTCATTTGTAAAATAATATTAAAAATATATAAATATAAATATATATATATATATATATATATATATATATATATATATATATATATTTTTATTATTCATATTTTTTTTTTTTTTATAATTTTTTTTATTAAAGTCACTTTTATCATAAAATAAATGGATTATAAATAATGATAATATTTTTTTTTTTTTTAAATATAGAAAAATAAAATAAACATCAGAACAAGAAAAATATTTAATTTTATTTACTTTAATTATTCATTATATTTATCTCTTATTTCTTGTACTTATGAGTTTATTATATCTATAGGCTTTGTTCCTATTTCTCCTAATTTAAATTTATATTCGGTAGGGTCTACTTAACAATCTACTCTGTATGGATCTTTATTATGTTTCCATTTAGCCTTTTAATTTTAATATTTAATATAAGGATTTTCTGTATTTATATGATAATTTTTTTTCCAGTGTTCGCATCCATTTTAGAGTTTTTAATTTTATGTTGTAGGAATTTTTACTTTATTTGATTAATTTTTTTATAATTAAATTGATTTAGTACTTGTTTAGCTAAGTTGTAGTATGTTTTAGACTATTTTTTAGAATTATATTTTTTTTTAAATATTATTCTTTAGGATTTAGAGTCTCTGAAATTTGGTTTTTATATATTGATTTCACATTTTGATTTTTATAGAAAGAATTATAATCTAAATCACTTTAAACTTTTAATTTTCTTTCTTTTTTAAAAAATAAAAAAAGAAATTATTTTACTCTTTTCTTATGTTTAAGTAGTAGTTATTTTGCTTTTTTCAGGTTTTAATGAAGATTAAGCAATATATGCATATATTTAAAAAGCTTAATTTAATTCTTTTTTTTAATAAAATTTTTATTTTTTTTAATTATTTTTATTTACAAATATTAGAATATTTTTGTATTTTTTTTAGCTTGAAAATGAATTCATAAAAATTTTTTAATAAAAAAATAAAAAAAATTATGTCTTAAATTTATAACAAAAAAATAAAAAAAATCGACAACTGCAGGATTCGAACCTGCGCGGGTAAACCCAAAAGATTTCTAGTCTTCCTCCTTAACCACTCGGACAAATTGTCTTTGTTGAAAATTGTATAATTATAAATTATATGGTTCTATTTTATATAAATTATGTTTATATTTTTATATGGATTAATTAATATATATTTTATTGTTTTTAATATAATTTAAAATTAAATTATATTTAATTTATAATATATTAAATATATAAAATATATAATTAGAAATTTATTTGTTATAATTAATAAAAATATTTAATTAAATTTTAAAGGATTATTATATTTTATTATCTTTTAAAATTGAAAAGTTAATAAAATAAAAATATTAATTATTATAATAAAATAATAAATAAAATAAAAAATTATATTTAAAAATTAAAAATTATTAATAAAAAATATAATAATGTTAATTTTAATAAATACAATTAATTATATATTTTATATAAATAATTTAATTTATATTTAAATTTGAATATAAAAAAATGTTTATATTTAATAAAATACTTATGTTATTTAAATAGTAACTTTTTTTTTATTAAAATATTTATATAAAAAGAAATTAATTATGTTAATTATTTTAAGCAATTTATTATTTAAGAAAAATGCTACTTTTAAAAATATATTATATTATTATTTAAAAAATTAAATTTATAAATTCTTTTACTAATGTTTTTTTTATATATATATACTTAAATAAATTATATAGAGATAAGTTTGATATAAAAAATGATTAAAATTATTAAATACTTTAATATAAATGATATTAAATTTATTTTTAATATTAAATATTTTATATTTACTATAATTTACATTTATTAAAATAAAAAATTCCCCAATGTATTTTTTTTTAATACGATAAGATATTAATATGATATGATATTAATTTATTATTTTTTTTCTAATGATTTGTTTTCCAAAAATAAAAATTTATTCGTATTTTTTTTTTAATTATTAAAATATAATTTTTAAAAATGTAAAATTATTAAATATTAGAATAAAACTCTTATTCTTTACAAACATAATCATCCAAAAATTTACCTTAATAATGTTTAGTTTCTTAATAATTGATAGAAAAATAAAATTAATTATAAAATGAAGATTAATCATAATTATTTTAAAATACTTTTGATTATAACACATTAGGGTAATAATAAAAAGCAGATAATACTTTCAGATAAAATTAGACAAACAAAAATATATAATTAAGTTAGGATTCAATAAAATCAAGTATTAAGAATCAATAACTTATCCAGTTAGTAAAAAATATAATAAAGCAAGCAAAAATATACAAAAATCAAAAAAATTTACAAACAAATTTAACTTAATATACTGAATAACAATAAGAAAAATAATAAAATAAAGAATAATAAGTAAAATTAATAAGTATACTGTAGTAATCTTTAGTCTTTAAAGAATAATATATTGCTAGCATAAAAGAACCTAATATTTAAAATACAGAGCATCAAAATATTGCCATTTAAATAATGTAAAAAAAGAGTAAAAATTATATAGAATAAAATTTCGTTATAAAAATGCTTTCCACTTTGAAATTATTTTAATAAAATAAGGCACTTATAGAATCATAATTATTAAAAAAAACTCTTTTTTAAAAAATTTCATATTTACGTTATCCTGCTAGGCATATTTTGTTTAATATAGGTATTTTTTATATATTCTATAAAATAATATTATTTTATTTTATATATATAATATATATAAATATAGGTGATTTAGGATATACATATTATATTGTTTTAAAAGGAAATGTTTCTTGTTTAATTAGAGATTAAAATTACTCTAGTAAAGAAAAATTTTTGGCTTAATCTATATAGAAGAGAAAAAATTATTTTACAGAAAATGATACTAAACATGAAAAAAATATAGATGAAAATACTATTCCTTATAAGAATACTGATTATTAATAATTATTAATAGAATGTTTTCCTAATTTAAAATTAAATTATACATTTTAAGCTGGGGAGTCTTTCGGGGAAATTGCTTTACTTACAGGGGATAGAAGGTATATATATTATAATATATATAAAAATATATATAAAGAACTGCTACTATAATATGTTAAGAAGAAAGCCATTTTTTGATTTTAAATAAAAAAGGATATGATGAATTAATAGGAAAATAAAAATAATAAGAAGTAAATGAGCAGATAATTTTTTTAAGTTAGTTTTAGTTCTTTTAAAATATCGCTTTATCTAAAATAATGTAAATACTTCGTTGGGTAGAAATAAAGGAATTTAATAAAAGATCTATTATATATAATGAAAAAGATGCTTCTGAGTATATTTTTTTTATAAAAAATGGAGAAATAGAAATTTCTTAAATTTTAGAATTAGAAAATAAAATTGGTTTAGATTAAGAAGAAATAAAATAATATAATTATTGGTAAAAAATTAGAGAATAAAATAAAATTAAAAATCGAATATAATAGTAAATTATTAGTTAAAATTAATATTTTGGAGAATATGAAATTTTAAATGAGATTCCTTTTAGAACTTAATAAGCTTAATGCATTTCTTAAAAAGCTTAATTATTTATTCTTTCAAAATAAGTATATTAAATATAATAAATATAAATTTTTTTATGAATTTATATATATATATATATATATATATATATATCTATTAATTTTATATTTATTTAGAAATTCATTGATATATTGAAAATTGGAAATTAAAGTATAATAAATATAAAATAATAGAAAAATTTTAAATATTTATGGCATTAATAAAATATTGAAAAAATAAAATAAATAAAATAAAAACTATAAATATAAAATTTACCTTTGATTCCTTTTTATGTTGAACAAAATGAAGAAAAAAAATAAAGGAAATTTGAGAAAATTGAAATAGAGAAATTAAATGAATATTTTCCGAGAAAATTAAGTAATATTGAAATTTTTTAAAAGCTTTAAGATTCTAATATTTAATCGAAAAAAGCTAATTAAAAATTTTAGGATTTTTCAAATTAATATAAATATTTTTTATCTTAGAATTCTAATTAATATTATTTGAAATAAATGTAAGATTCTTTTTAAAATAAAAAAGATATTTTATAAAAATTAAATGATGAAAGTACTCTTAAATAAGCTAATATTACTATTTTAGATATTTTTTCTTCGAAATAAAATAATATAATTACAAATAAAAATAATAATTCAAGCTTTTTTAAAAATTATTATATAAAGAAAGCATCTTTTATCGATTAAACTTAAGAAGAAAAGAAAAGCTCTTAATAAAAACTTGAAAAAATAAGTAAAAATGAAATAAGTGGTGAAAGTTAAATAAAATTAAAAAATTATGATTTTTCAAAATAGAATAAATAGCTTATTACAAATAAAATTTAAAGAAAAAAATAAATTTAGTGGAATAGTCAAAAGAAAGCCTAAGGATTTGTTATAAATGTTTAAGAAAAATTATTAAAAAATACTTTTACTTATTAAGATTAATTAAAAAATAATGAAAATAAATAATTTTTATAATAATTTAATAAAATATCTAAATAAAAAAGATTAAATAATTTAATTTTAAATATACACGAAAAGTCATTTTGTAAATAATTTTAGACTTAATTTTTAAGATGATTATTTTTTTAAAAAAAATATATAAATATTTAATTCATTCTTTTTTTTAATTTATATTTTATTTATATTTAAATATTTTTTAGTATATAAATATATATTATTAATAATTAATATGTATTTAATTTAATTAATGTTTATTTATTTTTAAATCAAATCTTTTATTTTTTATTTAATGGTTAATATAAATGCTATTTTTTTTTTAAATGTAAGTTTATTTTCTTAAATATCTTTAAATTTATATAATATATATATGTATATAATTAATTTTTATTATTAATTATTTATATATTTTTAATATTATATTTTATATAAATTTAATAAAAAGTTTATTTATAATTTTTCTTTTATTTTTAATATAATTATGATATATTTACATAATTTATTTATATTATAATTCATTATAGTCTAAAAAAATATATAAATGAGAAAAATATATATAAAAAAAATATTAATTATTATTTCAAATAAAATATTAAAAAAATCTAAATAAAAAATAACATACAATTTTTTAAATAAATGAATAAACTAACAATACCATAATTAAATGATATAAATAAAGAGATTGAAAATATATTCGGGGACGGAGATTTTAATTTAGATGAAATAGAAAAAACCATGTCGGGTACCAAAAAAGAAACCTCACAATAATAAAAAGAATAAAGTAAAAGTAGTTCAAGTGTAATAGATTCAGATAGTCAACCAGGAGAAGATTTTTCTGAAGAAGAAGAGGAAGATTAAATATAAGAATAAAATTCTGAAAATTAAACGATATAAAACAATTAATTAGATATATTGGAATAGCAGGAATATAATTAAATAAGCATAACATAAAATTTAAATAAATACAATAAATTTGAACAAGAATTAATTTTACAAAAAACAGAAATTCCCAAAAACTAAAATATGCTCTACGCCCCATACGATTCATTAACACAGTATTTATATCCATATAATCCAAATTAATAATCAGATATAGATATTTAATATATATCTAAAAAAAATGTATATGGAACACCAAAATGCATTTGTGTATATATATATATATATATATATTATATATATATATATATATATTTATATATATATAAAT